TCCCTAGCTCGTCATATCGGCCACCTGCAAGTTTGTAGAATCAGATGCAAAGATTTCGAAATGGCTTGCAATAAGTTTCGGGGCTCTCTGATACAAAAGTAAAAGTAGTTTTCGATTTCAACCGGGGTCAGATGAAAGCTTTATAATCAATTTTTTAAGTAACGGTCAGCCTCAACATTCAGTTACAGGCGGTGCCTGGGTAGATCTGGCTAACTGGACTTCTTATGTATATATCAACATTGACTAAAGACTTATGGACTTCAGACCATACTTTACGCGAATTCTGTCGCCAAGCGATCTGCTTTGCCAGATCTTCAAATCAAACACTGCCAGACTACAAGTGCACAGTGTGGGTAACTTCCGTAGATTGATGAATTGCCCTGTTTTCTATAACTTCAAAACGTGCTTACAATAAATTATTGATTATTACAGTATTGTCAAACTCCACTACCGTACACTTCAGGGCGCACCAATCAGCGCACTGTGCAATGCTGACCGATACATCCTGACAAAGTACAACGAGCAAGGATTTTGACTTGCTTCGCCCATAAATTGATTGTGTGAGCTCCGCTTGGGCTGTTTAATCAAAAATATCAATCTTTTCTCGCAAAAAAAGTCCACGTCGTCAGATTTGAGCGAACGCTACTTGTGAGATGCTTCATTATTTAAGGCCCAAGACAGAGTTCACGCGATTTCGTCGCGATTCATCGCTGCAAGACAAGTGTTACAACTTTGCATGCCGAATTTTTTGTATTTCGGTTGTGACAGTTAGTCACGATTAGTTGTGTCAAAAAACTATCACAACCGGAATGCAAGAATATCGGCATGCAATGGACTCGTACACTTGTCTTCCACCTGTGAATCGCGACGATGATCGCGTGAACTCTGTCTTGGGCCTAAAGGAGCTTGACAATACATGACCTTTATTGCCTTACTTTGTTGAAGATGAACAGTATTTTTTGAGCCTTCTATTGAACAGAACAGCTTGCCAGTGTTCTTTCATCAAAGAGAAGTAATATTCAATCCTACCTTGATCATCGAACGCATGTGAAACTTCGTGTCCAATGACAGCTCCAACCATTCCATAAGTGATATAATTGGGCACTCCAAGGGTTAGGAAAGGGAACTGCATAATGCCAGCAGGGAAGACTAAAAACACACAGTTGATTTAACGCCGATATTTTTGCGGATAATATCTGATATAGTTCTACAATGCGTGAAGATAGCGCAATGGCGGCATGAAAATATGCTATTAATTGTAAGAACTTCCAGATTCCAAACTTCCAAACTTCCAAATTTTCGATTTTATTGAAAAAGGGAGAAAAGTGCAAAACTATGATGGAGCGAAAATTGAGCAAAACGAAAGGGGTACTGGTTTGCTGGAAGAGCGACATTTGTTCACAGATGTAAGATTGATGATAGATGTAAGATTTCATTTACTAACTCATTTCATTGTTATTCGGTGCATAATAGGCGTCCACCTGTGCTGGGCTCTGATACCACATCGTTCTGTAAAAATGATAATGTAATGGAGTTCAACTGAACATTTTTTGCTTACTCTTTACCCTCCCCCTCTTCAAATAGAAAATACATCTCACCTGTCCAATGGTTGATCAAGCCTCATGAGCTCTTCTGCATATCGAGCCAACTTTATCCTTATAGTCAGATGCAGCAGGTACTCCTTCGGTTCAATGACCTTAATCAAAGTCAGTAAGCTGAACATAATATTTATATGTAGTTTTGTCAAAAATGCGAGAAAAATATTATTGACGAGCTAAACCCACTATTCCCCAATGTTCATTCATCCACGTATCGTTGAACAGTACTTCAGGAAAACCATTTTTGTACTCGATCATATT